GGCATTATTTTTGTTCTAAGTGTATTTCTGTTCCAATATTACTGACTCCCACTCCACGCCTCCATAAGAGGTTCTGTGTTACCCAAGGGCTGAAAATTAGGCACGTGCTTCAACGCCTTGTTGAATCGGGATCAGGATGGTTAACATGGCACAAAATGAAGCCCTTCACAGGTTTCCTTATTAATTTTGCTGCATTAAATTGGAGAACATCTTTACAGAAATCCAGCCTTTCTTAAGGACCATAGAGCACGACAAAGAATAAATACCCTATGAAGTATAGATTCCCATCAATTAAAATTATTTTAGCATGTTAGGCTTGCTGCTTAAATTCTACACTTTACTTGATAATTGGAGAACATTGTATTACACAATCTCATTCTGCAGTTAGGCAATTCCAAAGTATCACAAGTGTCTGGCAAGTTTTAAGTCTGTTTCACAACCGTACTGATAAGCTGCTACTCTATCAGATGATCAAAATACCCGTAGTGTGCCCTTGATCAAGTTAATATTTAAAAGTCGTAATGCAATTTTTTTATTAGCTTCAGGTATCTTTACAATTATTTTCAACGTCTTTTGGGGAGAGAGGATTTATTGAGATGTTTTAGAAAGGGAGGGCTGTTGTGGTTTTTTTTTACCCAGGAGTCCTCTGCTTTTTTAGCGGATTTGCTTTATTTGAGGGGAAAAAAACCAAAACCCACAACATTTCTTTCATAACGATAATTTAGAAAACCTGACAGACCCTTGCCATTGGGCAACTAAGTTAATAATTGACCAAGACACATAGCTGGCCTTAATGAATGATTCCACATCCACACTGCCAGCTGGTGTAACTTACTCAGCTCCTCTCAAACATTTCTGGAAAGAGGAATGGTAAGCTGAGCTTTATGTTCGTCTTCTGAACGACGGTAGGAAGTGTTCATTAGAATGATCATGAATAAATAATTGACGTATTTATTTATAATTTTAATTATTAGATTACTTTTGGAAAAATTGCATGAATCAATTCTTCTCTTTAAAATATGTCATATTTTTAATTTGCTTGTGATTAGGTTAAATACATATTGTTAAATAATGAGCTGTCCAGTGTATCCTCCCTGATCATCTTAATTGGCCTTGTAATTGAGACACGGAGCAGCTGCTCACCTACCAAAGGAATCTGACCAAGAGGTCACACACTATCATGCCTTCCTAACAAGTTTAAACCTCAAAGCAAGGTCTATTTTACTTCTAAATAATGGCACATGTTCATGGAAAAACGAATAAATGTTTGTTAGCACTTGAATCTGCTAAGTGCTTTTTAAACTTTAATTCCTTCTCTTCAAACATGCTGAGAATGGACTCATCACTGATGCTTTAAAACTAAATTTCCTTCTGGTAAAACTGAAAGATGTTGTGAGCTGAGCTGTGCCGCAGAGATAGAGGTTTATACCCAGGAGCTTCTGGCTTCATAATCAACAATCTGATCATGCTTTTCTTTTGCATGCAAGTATTAAAAATGTATCAAATCTAGCGGCTGCAGTTTAGTACAATAGGTTTGATTTTGCAGAGTTCTACTACAATCATTTTCTGCGATGTTCAGCTTTCATTTTAAGCTGAAAGATGTGTTCAGATTTGAAAAGATCTCATTTTTCTCAAAAATCTGACTGTCACATAGAGAACTTCTGGGCTTGAACAGTTTCAAAGCCTGGCCCCTGATGAGGTACCTACATGGAGAATTCTTTGCCAACGTGACCACAAAAGCAAGTAACACCTGTGGTGCTCACTGAGAAAGGAATATAAACATAAGGACCTGGTTTTAGAAAAACTTAAAACTGTACTTAAAAATAAACCTGTAAACTTCCCATGGCCTTTTCCAACCAGCAAATTTAAAATTTGACATGAAGCACTGTACATTGGCGTCCATTGCAACCCCTGTAATCTTAATGTAAGTCTTCAAAAGCCGTTTCTGTCATATAAGAACATGGATGTCACCGTACACCCAGCTTACTGTCTTCTTGCTAGCTCGTGGAAGTAAGGAGGTCATTTTCCCTCAGTGCTTTTTACATCCAGAGTCGCTTTACATCCATTATCTGATTTAGGTGCGTGGCCTGGTGAACACTGCCGATGGTGCCCATTGGGGTGGTGATGAGGGTTTTCTCACTGGACACGGGGGTTGAATCTCTGGTCAGTGAAAGCACTACACCAGCATTCCCTACGCGGGTGAAGGCTTTCACCACTGAGAATTATTTAAAAGGTGACCACTACTGCTCCTGGAAAACGCCAAACCCAGCCCAGTTCTTTCCAAGAATACTCTTGTGCACGTGCGAGGATGCTGGGTCCCCCCAGCTTTACAACATGACGGGGTCTTCCTTGCAAATGGTGAGAGCTGAGACATAACCTCTGTGTTTAATATTGCTGTTGGCTACTGGTAGGCATCTCCAGTACTTGGCCTGGGTGATTTAGGTATGATCCATACTTGTCTCACTCTCTCTGTGCTGTGTAAGGTGCTCGGGAGTCTCACTCTGGACGCAGGAATTCATGGTGGGGGAGACACCCAAAAGATGGGTATTGTCGCACTTAAAATTTGAGGTGGCAGAGTTTAAGGCTTTCTCTGGATCTTTGGATTCTAAGTCTGTTTTTCAGACTAAATTGCTTCTGAACTTTGGGGTTTGGTTTTGGTTGTTGGGTTTCTTTTTTCATTTCCTCCAAATGAAGTAAATTGACTTTTACTGGACTATACATTTTACCGTCCCATTCTGGCTGTAGCATGATTCCCAAGAACATATGGGTTAGAAACAGCAATATTTTAGGGTTTTTAAAGATGAATCTTAGACAAAAGTTAACATTCGGTGCTCAAAACAGTATTACGAAAATTGTACGGAAAATCTTGACTTGGTATCTTCCCTCATATAATGGGAGTTATATATCGTTCACACAACGGGAGTTCTGTGGTTGTAAAGTATGAGGAATTCTTCAGCTTCCCTCTGCCCCTTAGACTTGGGAAGAGCCTCATTTCAAACCGCACCAGTGTGAGCAGTGTGAATCCTGAAGGAACTGCCAAACTTGACTTTCTGTGCTAGCTTTGTGGCACTCCCTGATTTGACTGCAGCTATCCTCAAGTTACTAGAACGTGATGCTTCTGGTGACAAATGGTGCAAGTTTGCCCCACTTCTCCCATAGCAGAGATGTTTCTGGCAGAGGAGCTTAATTTCAGTATGCTACCTAGAAAACCACTTCCATAGTCCCCTTTTTATTCATCAAAGCTGCTTTACAGTATCAGTATGGCATTATCCAGGCCTGGGATTTTCAAAGGGGAGATGATAGGCACCAAGATCCAAACGCAAGGCTATGAAATAGTAGCTTTCATGGGCACTCTCAAAGTTTCCAGCCTAAAACATTAACGGGAATGACAATTTAAATTGTGCTGTTTGTAATTACATGGAGAACTACTGTATGAGAGTAAGCTCCCTAAAAATCTGTCATTTTAGGCAAAGTCGCACTAAATATTTTGTTAAGACTCTTTAATGCCGTCAAAAACTCAAAGCCTCGTGATACAAAATACTAACTGCCATAATCGCTACTTCAATCTCTAATTAAATCTGCTAGTTCAAATGTTCAAAGGCTGGCTCAAGATTTTGGAAGGGGTAAATTAATTCTGGCAGACTCATAGCTATGTCAGATATCATCTGTCTCCTCTTTCTGTCAGATCCAGCTGGGTGGTCCCCTTACAACCAGGATGAAGCCAACTCGAACATCATTTTGAGTGCTTAGACTCAATAAATCAGAAATTTGATTATGTGCACATAATCTATTAAAAATAAATGAAAGATTTGGCATGTTTTTCCTAGCCTATCTACTCAGGACAAGACTAAGCCACTGATATCTTTGCTGAAGGTGACCCCAAGTCTCATTTTCCCCCAAAAGCTCTATTAATGCAAGAATGGCTATACCAGGTCAAACCAGGGCCATCTTGCCCTCTCTGCAGCAATGGATGCCTACGGAAGAATGAAGAAACATCAATGATTCTTCCCCAGAATACTCTGTCATTCTTTAGTGATTTATGGTTCAGAACTTCCTCAGTCGGAGGTACTGCCTTTTACATTTTATAGGACTTTACACCCAGTACGTGCTGAACTCGGGAATTTCTAGCATCCATAGGAATGCCCACTGCTTAACTTTTTTTTTTTTTTAATCTGAATCTGCCACCTGTTAGTCATACTGCAAGAGCTGGTCGAGTTTCCCACCTTGCTTCATTCAGTAAGAGAGAGATTACAAGAAAATACAAAACGCTGTTGCACAGTGGTGGGTTTGAATGACTTTTCTTCGTGGTATACATGCACGTGTTCTTCACCTGATGTCGTTAGTACAGGATCATTGCCTGGTTCTTTGCTCTAATTCTTAGTCCTAACTCTAACTCAAATACTCTGAGAGCAGAGCTCGAGCATTTTGGAGGTCTCCACAGGACCTTGCACTTAGCTGACGAGCTCCAGCCCCTTCACGTGGTAGCTTACCTCAGCAGCCAGAACCGGTGTCATTCCGCAACACAGCAACATTCAATTCTCCTGTTTTCTGAACAGCACAAACTCCGTTTCTGCAGACTTGCTCATCTAAGTCAGCAGAAGATGAGTCATCCGGAAAAAAAAAAACACCGAACTATAATCATTTGTCCCCTAGGAGTCATATAGTAAGTTAATTATTGTCCAACACATTCTAATACAAAATACACGAGTGGTTTCAACTTCTTGAGGCTGCAAAGGGCAAGAGAGCTTTTCAAAATTTCCATCAGTTATGATCTGGGAACGCTGGGTTTCCCTTGACTCAGTATCTATTGCATAATCAGAAACACATTTGGTTCCCTTTGTGGTATGAGACAAAGCTAAAGAAATGTGTGTGATTACTTTGCAAAAATAAAGAGTAGATACCGAATCAGCTTATGTCATGTATGCAATGTTTATAAACACAACCGCTCCGGGGCAGTTCCTCAGCTGACGAAAACGATTACAGCCGATATCACTTGAAATAATGCTCTTCTGAATCTC